TTTTACTACAAAAGTAAATAAATGTTACAGATTACACGTTGGACTGAATGCCCGTTTAAATTTCTTTCAACACTTTTGCTTCTATACAACTTCTGCTAATTCCCCATTCAATAGGAAGTCTACGGACATGGGGCACCCTAATTCAACTACTACAAATGAACTACTATGAAAGTTTTTTTTATTTTATTATATTACTTTACAGTGCTCATTCTTACAGAGATTACCAAATGGTGTTTGGGTTATTTCATAAATTATTATATCCATATTATATATAAAGTATTTATACACAATGTTCTTCAATCATCCAATTCTTAACAGCAATATTCCATTATATTTTGATCGCCATATTTATGTCCTGTATTTAGCCAATTTGTATTTTTCCCCATGATAAATTGCAATATATGTTAACAAAAAATCTTGTAAACTCTGCTAGACTCCAGTGAATTCGTTCATTCGAAAAACATCAAATTTTCGAGATTTTTTTCTTCACCTTGGCGTCAAAGTACAAGGAGACATTGAGAAGTCTAGTGTGATCTTCAATATTATTAAAACCAAGTCCAGGAAAGTCGATTTCATGAAATATAATCAAAATTTCAGGGTCCGAAAACCACCAGATTCGAGGTTTGTGAATCCTCGAGACACCAAACTTCTCCAGCAAACATCGTCACAACCAAACGAGGGGTTTATGCCTCCCTACAACACCCCGAGGTAAACTGCTGTGTCGGGTATTCACACTGAACAACACTATGAACATAAGTGAACGAGAGAATTTGTGATAACCAAAGGAACGAAAAACTTATGATAGGAAGTCACTGTTAACCACAAGTTTTAATAACATAACACGTTAACAACTAAGATCTTTTAAGAAAGCAACAAGGGTAAAATTGTAATGTCAGTCATCCCTGTATTTAGATAATTATCCAAACTAACCTAACCTAATGTAACTTATTCTAACGTAACCTAATGTAACTTATTCTCACCTAACCGATTCCCAAAATGACCATAACTAACACACACAATAACCTATACCAATTTCAGGTTAAGGTAGACGACGCTTCACAAACTTGCGTTGCATCCCAGACTCAAACTTGAACTAAAAAATACTATATAATTGGCGCCAAACTCACATCGTCTCAACACGTTAATATATACCGGTAATTAATAATACTCTATTATTTTGTTGATACCTGTACCTAATAAATTATTGAAATTATCATTGTAATTGTTTGGTTTCTCCTTGATTATTGTATACTTGATAATTACACAGTATAAATTTTATTAACTAAGAGGAGAGAAAATTACTGCCTCCTCCTCCTCACACCTATATACGGGAGAGAGGGGAGACAGAGAGGATTACTACCCCTTCCTCCTCACACCTATATACGAGAGAGAGAGAGAACAATAACTCGCCCCCCTACACCAGGACTTAAACACACACAATCACCTAGGCTATGTCAACAAACCCATTTTTCAAGAGTTTTCAAATCTGTTATTACATCTTGACGCTAAAACTTCCCTTTCTGTCTCTACCTTTATTACACACTGAAATAATCCTCTCCTCCCCCTTGTTTTTAGCCCCTTAACTTGCCCTCATCCCTTTGTGAACGCTCAAGGGGGAACTGAGAGGAGTTTCCAAGGTGTAATATCACTAGTTGGGGGTAAGCTTGGCAACGTTGGAGAGCTGGTGTTTGAGTTTATGTGGCAACGTGTCAAATGTGATGGCAGATGAGAGACTAAGGTGATGGTTAGGTTAGGTTAGATAGCATGTACAGTAATAATTCCAACAGACATAAATACCCGGATGATTACTCTCATTAAAACTGAGTACGTAAACTCTTTAATTGCAATCGTACTCAAGGGAATATTAAGGTCTTCTATCGACTATAACATTGTACTTAAGGGTTTAAGTTTTTGTACTCCAGAGATTAACTCATTATATACAAGTGAACACAAGGTCCTAGGAACACCACAAGTGAACACAAGGTCCGAGGAACACCACAAGTGAACACAAGGTCCTAGGAACACCGCAAGTGAACACAGGGTCCGAGGAATACCACGAAGAATTGAATAATTTTAATAACATGACCTGTCGTGCGTGGGAAGTTGAATGATCGAGTCCTTTATAATATTTTTAATTAACCTCGTTGACGGGGGTAAGGAAGCCCTGGGTCGTTTAATCTCCCCATTGTTGCTGATGAATTGGTCGATGGAGGCATTTTGCTTTTTTTTTCGGTGTTCATACGACGTACTTCCCATTCACCGAGTTTTAAATAATTTCTGGAAATTTTAAAGGCTTTGAATTATAATGTGATCAATCAGGATTTTATTTTTGTAAGAGAAATTCCTTTTTGAGAAATACACTTGTGGATAATTATTAACATCCTGCCTCATTGATTTGATCTACTGTAAAAGTGTATTGATTCCTTTACAATAAAATAGTTATGTTTCACTATTATACAACTATTGGAACAAAGAAATACCCACTATCTGTTTTACTTTACCCTGGAAACAGCAAATAGACTGTGAGCCATCGACACAAAACATCAATGTGCTATCGGGTTTTTTGCAGGAGCCGTCACTGATATGATAAATAACGTACTCAGGTTTACCAATACTTTGTGGTTCTTTCCTGCTAAAATCATGGTTCAGCGATATTGATGATTACTGCCCCATTACCCGGTTTACTTGCATGAACTTTGTCAATTGTTACAGAGACATTTACCTGACAACATAAAGTCAACAAATAGAAAAGATGAAGGTATTGAATTATGTCCCGTGTCAACCACCCTTCACACTCCCTATTACTTTACAACAAATATATCCATACACACCTTTCTTACTGCTCTGGACGTCTTCCTAGTCCATGGTAATGAAAATCCAATCCACATCTGTTGACAAGGCCGCTCCTGTAGTATAGGTGATGTAAAATTAGCTGCAGCAAAATACTTACCTCCAAACGTATTATGATCCATGATGTTAAATTCACCTTTACCAACTCTCGCTGCCCAAAGGTCGCTCAAGTTAAAAGTTAAAGTTCGCTAAACATCACTCAGATCACTCAATTTCGGTAAAATTCAACCAAATTAATTAAATAATCGAGTTAATTCTTTAAAATTATATTAAGAATCTCCTACAGTTTATTAATATCAATACAACAAAGACTGGTTCAAATTAGCTAACCTCAGTGGGTTTTCCGCCAAGTCGGGAACACTGGTAATCTTCGTAACTGTGTATTTACCCGAACACTTGATGGCAACACTCACCAGGGGCCACATACTCAAAAACATTTACGGGATTTCTTTCTTTACCCTGTAACTGGACTTACAGAGATCGGTATACCCAAAACAAATAATTGGCAACGGACTCCCTAAGTGAGCCCGTACCTTACGGCACCTGAGGAGGTCCTGTAAGTTACGGGGTAAACAAAGAAGTCCCGTAAATATTTTTGAGTATGTGGCCCCTGTATCTCTGCTACTGTACGTAAACTGGTGAGAAGTTTTGAGTATGCGACCCCAGGTAACACCTCATACCTAATAAAATTATAATTACAAATATATTTCCAGGTAACTTTGTATTTATTATTAATGCTTTAAACACAATATTAAATACATTACGTGTTGCCGTTTATCATTACGTATTGGACACTGCCATATTTTGCTAGAGTTCCGCGTTAGTTCACCAATCTGAAACACATTAAATAAATAAGTATATACTATTGTTTGTCTTTAACCCAAATACATCAATATTCTGCATCAGTGCAATTTTGAATATTTTTTACAGCAATTGTTTTATCACTAAGCCAAGGTGCATTCTACCATCTTCATTTACGAGGAGTATTCAACGAACTAATTCTACATTAACTTCTTGTACTAAACTACAATATTTACTACAACTCCTCCCTACAGTGCTTACCTTAACACAATACTCGATAGGCATCAATAAAATTAAACAAAACTACACGTAAGTACTTTATTAAAATAACATCATCTCTTATGACTCGTCTCTTAAGAACTAAGATTACCTACAGTACTTTAACTTTCTTCTAACCCAACACAGCCTGCCAACACTCCCCCAGTGTTTTGTAGCCTATGTTGGTCTACACAGCAGTCTTATAGGGTATGGTCAAAACATTACAAGATACGATACTTTTGGCGAGTTTAGATTCTAATATCACTATTTTATTAGAGACTTTTATTAAATCTGTTATTTCTACGGTAGTATATATGGGATTTGTTGTTGTCATTAATAGTAACAAAAATACGCTAGTGTTTGTGTTTGTTACGTTATATCCATCTTGTGTTTAAATTACTTTCCTATAGACATAAGTTGATATGTGATAGTTGTGTTGATATATTCCTCTGGTTTTTAAAAGACATACAATGCCTCGTGAGTTCTTATCTTATAAACTTGAACACCCTTTCAGTCACCACCGTTCATTATGCCACAAAACATTATATTATTATATGTTTATGTCACGTGTTTCGCTATAATAACATACCCTGTTCTGTAGATGTATAAATAACCTGTATATCATAATAAACTAATCTACAATATCCTTACCCAGTTAATTACATACAAAGCTTAATATTGTAAATCTATATAGTATTGTAAAAGTTTCCCCCAGAATTGAATGAGCTGAGTTACCCTTACAATCGCTTTATAGTGAACTGCTACACTAAAAATATTAAAAATTCGGAATCTCGTTAAAAAAAATCCTTGTTACAATACGATTTTTTTTTATCTATGGCCATTATTAGTAGTTTATCACAAAAAAGGAACATTCTTAATTCTAATGTTGTGTTCGACAAATTGGAAGAGAGTGTGGTAGGCTTACTAGATTCATGTGTACATTAACTTACATTATTTACAATCATTCGACCCTGATAACCTTTCTTCTACGTCAAAAATGGATGAAGTTATTATTAGTATCTATCTAGTTCCAATGTACAGAAGTTTTTCTCCACGGACTGCGGGATTGTCCGTGGAGAAATCAATCACACTCTCTCTCTCTCACACCATAAGAGTACGTGATATTCACTTAACATACAAGTAGGCCAATACGGAACGCGACCAGCACCTTCATATGAAAATACTTCACTATAATGTAATTCCTAATTATTAAAATCTTACAATAAAATACTATATAAAATGTTTTTGGTCTATATTCCTTTATATATATATTAAAAAACACATACGGGCTAACGCTAAAGTGGATCAAGACAGGATGAGTCGATATGTGTGTGTTTGTGTCAATATCTAAGATCCCCCTCTAGTGTACACCACAGAAAACCTTTGATACGCACCAAGACTATGTTAAACCTTTATGTAAAACGTTCGTTCCTTTTACAAGATGAATACTTCCGACCCTGTTACCTTGTTACGTCTGTATATTTTGTTATGTTTATGATCCCACATGTAAACACGCTCTACTAGATGATCGAGCATATACAAACATGACGTTATCAACATGTGTTTCATATGAATATCTACTACACGTGAGAACCCACTACATGTGAACATTCGCAACATGATGAACAATGACTGCTGAAAAAATGTGACCACTAGATCTGGCAGCGTTTGATATGGTAGTGTTGTCTGGAGGTGGTCTAGTGACGTGTCTCCTGGGGGTGTGGTTGACGACACCGTTGGAAGTGTGTATCCTGGCCTCTGAGGTGTTGTTGACATCCAGGGTACCTCCTCCTACGGGTGACGCCTCACAGGTCGGAGGTCTAGATCTACGTCCATACGGGCATAACACGTCCAGGTCATTGACTCTATACTCCACTACGGGAGAAAGTTTCTCGTCCTGGATGACACTTGAACACTCGATCTGTAAGCGGATGTCTGTCGAAGAGCAAGTGTTCCTTGTAGGTCGACGGACTTCCGGGCTTGAATATGAACACGAGTTGAGCGCTGACTTGCGGATCTCAGGACTAGAGTCGTAGGAGTGATGACCGTCCTGGTCTAAAAATGAGACGCGGGGGCCGTGCTGTACGTGGGTGCTGATGGAGAACGGGAGGTCCGCCTCTGTGACGCCGTGCAGTAGAGGAGTTGAGAAATTGAGAGTGTAGCGGAGATCAACGATGCCCTCGTCCTCTGGCTCCGTCCGTAGCTTGATGGGGCTCCTCTTGACCAGCCGGGAGCGCTGCAGAGGATGAGGCGAGGCGGGGAAAGCTCCAAGTCTGGGAGATCTTTCATCGTCATCATCGTCGTCGTCCTCCTCTTCGTCTTGTCTCCGCGCTTCTTCTTGGTCCTCGTGGAACCTCTGAGCGTCAAAGAATATCTGAGAGGGGCCGCAGGATGAGCTCTCCTCCTCGTCCTCGGCGCCATCAGCAGGGAGGCGGGTGTCAGAGGGCCGTCTCGATGGGCAGCCCAGCGTGAGGGAGGGCAGGGAGCGGTGTAACGAGCGGAACATTCTCTCCCTCTTAACCCTCCTGACGGTGGTGTCATCACTCTGTAGATATTGAGTGTGTGGCGCCCCCAGCACCTCCCCCAACGCTCTACCTCCGTCACCAGCTAGGCCGTCCTCCGTCACTCCGCCCCCTCCCTCCACATCGCCGACACCTCTCGCATTCCTCACACCTCCCATTCGGTCATTATCTGATCCCGTGGACGATAACGACCCCTACAGGAGGAGAAAAGGGGGAGGTGGTGTTAACCCCATCAACTGACCTCCTACACCACCATGATCATCACGTCCCATCATAACCCACAAGCTGGAGTTTAATTACACAGCCATTACAAAGATGTTATTCTATGCACCGAGTTCTCCCAGAGAGTTAAAACCTAACCTAACCCACACAGAGAGAAAAAATAGTCATCAAAACAACATCTAGAGTATCTGAACCAACAAAACACCATCAAACAGCACGTAAGTTATGAAACAAATACTAAGTCATAACACTTTCTTAACCCACACAAAAACATAAACAACTAAACAAATAACTTTTATATCTATTAATTTATGAAACCAAAACAACAATTTAATCCACACACAAAAACAAAACAACCTCTGAACTCCTTAAGCAAAATACAATCAAGATAAACAATAACAGGCCATCTTCACCTTCTTGTTTATGTCGTAGGAACCCGTAGAAGATGTAGGACTCTCAGGACACTCAATCCAACGATGTAGTTTGTGGAGTTCCTGTTCCAGCTTGACGACCTCTCTCCTGTAGACTTTGTTTTGTACCTCCGCCCGGTAGAATTTCTCCCGCTTGTCCTCCGTCAGTAGTCTGTAGGAGGAGGTGGTGTGAGGAAGGTCTTAGGGTACTATCTGAAGGAGGAAGGAAGGAAGGAAGGAAGGAAGGAAGGAAGGAAGGAAAATGAATGGAGAAGGAAAATGAATGGAGAAGGAAAGAAAAGGAATGAATAAAGAAGGAAAATAAATAAATGTAGAAGGAAGGAAGGAAGAGAAAGGAATGAGAAGGAAGGAAAAGGAATGAATAAAGAAGGAAATAAATAAATGTAGAAGGAAGGGAGGAAGGAAGGAAGGAAAATGAATGAGAAGGAAAGAAAAGGAATGAGAAAAATAAATAAATGTAGAAGGAAGGAGGGGGAAAGGAAGGGAAAGGAATGAATGAAGAAAAGAGAGACAGAGAGGGGGATATCCAGGTAGACCAACAGGTAAGAGGCGTTCACAGGTGACCCTAATTGATTTCCCTCAACCATAGCACATCGTCAGCAGCTAAGACAGTCCCTCAAGAAGACACGCATCCAACTATTTCTTCAGAGATGACTAATAATTTCTGTCTATTTCTCGAGATAACTAATAATTTCCACATAATATCCACACAAGACTGTAAACACTATTCTCACAAGACTGTAAATATCCACACAACTGTAAACAATATCCGCACAACTGTAAACACTATCCACACAGTAACCAGCCGACCAGACATACACTAAGCTCGGGGCGACGACTCAATATCCTGAACAAGTAGACGAAATGAAGATACGAGAGCCGCATACTGACCTCGTGTGTGTGTGTGACCATTCGACGACTACTACTACTACTACTACTACTACTACTACTACTACTACTACTACTACTACTACTACTACTACTAATTCAAATACCGAGGGGATAGCAGAGTGTCAGTGGGTGGTAGAGAGTCTCAGTGGGTGGCAGAAGACATGAGGGGGCGGCGAGGGGTGGCAGAGAGTATTGGGTCGTAGCAGTGGGTGGCAGTTAGTGACGGAGAGTGACAGTGGGTGGCAAGAGAGTGACAGTGGGTGGCAAGAGAGTGACAGTGGGTGGCAAGAGAGTGACAGTGGGTGGCAAGAGAGTGACTGTGGGAGGCAGGAGTGTGCAATATGTCCCCACCAGGTGATAATGTCTTCGACCAATTACAACTTGAATGGTTTCGCTAATTTCTTGACTTAATTGGCTCCTCCCACACCTGACGGTCCATCGCGGGCGGGGCGGGCGGGGCGGGGTGGAGAGGGTGGAGTGGGAGTGGGGCGGGAGGGGCGGGGGCGGTGGGGCGGTGGGGTGGGTCGGGCGGCCGGAACGGAGTTGATTAGTAAACTGAGAACTTGCTCTATGGTATGATACGGGGTTATGGCATGGGCAAGGGCACAGGTAGGGCAAGGGCACAGGTAATGGGGCAAGGTGGGCATGGGTAATGGGCAAGGTGGGCAAGGCACAGGTAATGGGCAAGGTAGGCATGTAGGGCAAGAGTGTTTTCCTACCTCCTTTACCAAACAACTACCAAGAAAACTTAGTCACTTTCCTAACTTAACCAATCAGAACGTCGCCATTTGTTTCGAGAGGTGTGTGTGTGATTGGCTGAACTGCTGCAATGGAGTGGGACATACGGCCTGTGATTGGTGGAATGTCTGGGGAACCTGGGCTGTGATTGGCCAGTTTAGTTTAGGACGAATAAACAATGAATTAATCAAGTCAAGATCTACTGTACATGGAGGAGGAGGAGGAGGAGGAGGAGGAGGAGGAGGATGGAGGAGGAGGAGGAGGGGAGGAGGAGGATGAAGGAGGAGGAGAAGGAGGAGGTGGATGGCAAGAACAACAAGAACACGAAGAACAAGAACATCTTACCTGCGTGTGTTTGACTGAATCTTCAACCCCATACTCTCCACTACAGGGTCACCTTCAGCCCGTCTTATAATAGTCAGGATCTGTAAGAATGTAAGTCCGTGTACACATAATACATACATACATACATACATACATACATACATACATACATACATACATACAAACATACATACATACATATAAACACAACAAAATACTGTATACATAAATCTCTCTCTCTCTCTCTCTCTCTCTCTCTCTCTCTCTCTCTCTCTCTCTCTCTCACCTTGGGCACAAACAGCAGACACAAGGTAGTAGTAGTGGAGGTGAAGATGAGGGTAGTGATGATGACGTAGGCCAAGGTGGTCCTCTCCCCGATGACGTTAGCGGCGACGATGACGATGACGGAGGTGATGACGACATTGTAAACACTCATCCCTATGTACTGGGAGTCGTTTAGTGCTGGGATCTTGACGTGTCTGGGGGGAGAAAAGGTGGGTTATTGATGGGTGGTTGGTGGGTGGTTGGTGGGTGGTTGGTGGGTGATTGCCTGAAGGAGTAGGTGAAGGATAGGGGGAGGTTATTGCCTGGAGGAGTAGGTGAAGGTGTCATAGGAGGAGGCGATAATGTGCTCTCATACAACCTAACCTATCCTAGCATAACCTAACCTATCCTATCCTAACCTATCATAACCTAACCTAACCTAACGCTCGGTGCCGTCACAACACTCTCTGGCAGGTATATAATGAGTTCACAATTCTCACTCCAAAATATTAACTCTGACATTTTCTGAACTTGTGGCTTCTTCAACCTTAAGCTGTGACCTCAAGCTGCAGGTATGAACACTCGACTGGGTCTGTCTGTCTGTCTGTCTGTTCTATGAGGTGCTTTTAAGCTTGTAATAAGTCACCCCTTGCCAGCCTATCGTATAAGCTGGGCGTCTGAGGGCGTTCTAAGCTCTCTTAATACGTGAGTCCTTAGCTTATCTCGGAGACCAGACGGGGTGACAGTACTCCAGACGGGGAATCACCTCGAGGGACAGACCGTCTATAAGAACCACCTTCGTATAACACCTGCTAGATTATTTAATTATTTTATCATCTCACTATTGTCTAAGAATATTAATCCATTACCGGGTTCTTTACACACGCTGGGGCCTGTATACCACCTACGAATAGCATAATACATCCTCTTACGCTCTCTTAACAATAAATCTTAACACCATTCAAAAATAAACAGACAGACAAACGAATCCTACATAATTTGCAAAGACCATAACAGTACACAAACATTAAAATGAACCCTAAAAAAACATAAAAAAACATAAAAAAAAACACAAATGCAACGAAATTCAGAGACGCCATCTTGTAATGCTCCCTGGAAAAATGTTTATTCCATTAAATCAGTAAAAATATAAGTTTTATTTCGCGTTGGTTTAAATATGTTTCTGCTCTTCAACACGTAAGTAACTCCCGTCTGGCGTAAAGTTTGGGGTGGAGAAGTCACGTCTGGCGTTAGTGTTGAGTGGTGGTATAGTGGTTGTGAGTGGAGGTGTGAGGGTGGTGGTGGTGGTGGTGAGTGGGGTGGTGGTGAGGGGGTGTGAGGTGGTGGGGTGGGGTGTGAGGGTGGTAGGGTGGTGGTGAGGGTGGTGGAGGTGGTGGTGAGGAGTGGAGGTGTGAGGGTGGTGGTGGTGGGGGGAGGGGGTGTGAGGGTGGTGGGTGGTGGAGGTGTGTGGGGTGGTAGGAGTGGTGTGTGAGGGTGGTGGTGAGTGGGGATCTGAGGGGGTGTGAGGTGGTGGTGGTGGTTGATGATGTTGTTAAGCTGGGGTGTATAATCCATCCACCACACCCTGCCCCTGCCCCACCTCACACACCGCCCGCCTCACACCTCCCGCCCTGCACACCCACCCCTGCCCACCCGCCTCGCCCTGCCCTGCCTCACACCCTGCCCCCCCCCCCACCTCCCTTGCAGCAACTTGTGATGAGTTGTGGTCACGAGCCAAAAGTCTTGATGGGAGAGTAATTGTCTATTAAGGTGAAGCTCTGATGATGCGGGAGAAAACCACGCCCACTACCACACTGCCACGCCCACTACCACACTACCACGCCCACTACCACGCACGCCCTACCACTGCCACGCCCACTACCACACTGCCACGCCCCACTACCACACTGCCATGCCCACTAAGACACTGCCACGCCCACTACCACACTGTCATGCCCATTAAGACACTGCCACGCCCACTACCACACTGCCATGCCCACTAAGACACTGCCACGCCCACTACCACCACATGCCCACTAAGTCACATCACACCACACTACCACTGCACACCCACTACCACACTGTCAACCACACTGTCACGCCCACCTTCACGCTGATAATAAGTTCGAGTTAAGACTTAGTCACGACGCTGTGTGTGTGTGTGTGTGTGTGTGTGTGTGCGTGTGTGTCTGTGTGTGTGTCTGTGTGTGTCTGTGTGTGTGTGTGTGTGTGTGTGTGTAAGACCCTCCCAATAATAAACCCACACAATAAAAAATTCACATAGGAACATTTGTGACCTCATAAACTTGTCGACGTATAAAGTTTGTTGAGGTGATAAGTTGATAAGACTCCTGCCCTGACGAGACTCCTACCCCGACGAGACTCCTGCCCCTGACGAGACTCCTGCCCCCTGACGAGACTCCTGCCCCCTGACGAGACTCCTGCCCCTGACGAGACACTTCCTGCCCCTGAGAGACCCTGCCCCTGACGAAGGCTCCCATACGTCAGATATAAGGCGATAACACGAATAACTTAGATACGAAACTTAACTTCTGTGTTTTGGTATTTTAATTCAGGAGACGTTTTGCCTAGAGTGGAGGGGAGGGGGAGGGGTGAAGGAAGGGGGTGAAGGAAGGAGTGAAGGGGAGGAAGGAAGGAGGGGGTGAAGGAAGGGAGGAGGTGGGCTGGAAGGATGAAGGAGGTGAAGGAAAGGGGGGAGGGGTGAAGGAAATTGGGAGGAGGGGTAGGGAGAAGGAAGAGATGAATAGTGTAGGTGAAGAGGAGGAAGAGGAGAAGGAGGAGGGGGTAGGAAGGGAGGAAGAAAAGGATAGGAAAGAAAAGGAAGGGAAGGAAGATGGAGTGATTAGTACAGGTTAGACGGAGGAGAAAAGGTAGGGATGGAGGGATGGGATGGTAACAATAAATAGAGATAGTGGAACAGAACAGAACGGGACGGGACAAACGGGACAAAACGGAACGGTCTGACTCAAACATTTAGAGATAATTAAAAAGTATATGATAAAAAAAAAATACCAAGGATAAAAAAAATAATAATTAATTCATAGTAAAAATGCAAGAGTGACTTTGAACTTATAAAGAAGCACTTAGGGTGTCTTAGAGGAATACAAACTCATTCATATTCTCAAACAACACCAAACACTTTCTTTAACGAAAGATAAACATTGCCTAGAAGTTTATGAATGCAGGAGCAAAAGCGTGTGTGTGTGTATGCGAAAACACACACACACACACACATACACACACACGCAAACACACAGCATCACTACATTAAAAATAAATAAATAAATAAAAACTCTTCCTAAGTCTTGAGCCACAGCGTCCGGACACGTACAAATAGACGCTGTTGATTGGCCATATAAGATCCTTTGATGGCTGGTGATTGGCTGGGCGCCTCCAACACTGTCCGGAAGTGTCATTATGTCCTCGCTTTGTGGCCCCCAAATAGAACACAATGGGAAGAATGGACGGGAGGAGCCAGTACTGTATCGACCAAGAGTGTAAATAAGGGTTGAATTCTTTAATGTTCTCTAGTGTGAAAAAATCCTTACTTGTTCTCTCTGTTATTACCGGCCATAAGGGGAGGGGGGAAGGGTAGGTGGGGGTGAGGGATGGGTGGGGGGAGGTGGGAGGAGAGAGGGGGTGGGGAGGGAGAGAGGGTGAGGGGGAGGAGAGAGGGGGTGAGGGGAGAGAGAGGGTGAGGAGGAGAGAGGGGGTGAGGAGAGGGAGAGAGAGGGTCGTTGCCTACACTAGCGTCACGTGAGTTCAATGCAACATTACGTGAGCGAGTCATGACCAGACAACGGCTCGTGTATTTTGGTCGACGGACGAATAAGTCAGATGGATTATGTTAATACTTTGTTTTTGTTGACAGCCACGAACAGCTGGTATGAGTAGACATTAATAGTAAGTGTTAGGTTAAGGTTAGGTTAGGTTAGGTTAGGTGTCTCCCTGACCCCTCCCTCACCCACATCACCTCCCCCACACCATACGAAGACCTCATCCATTCTTCGCTTCCCCTGACACCTCCTCCCCCACCCCCTCATCTGGAATCTCCTCCCCACCACCTTCCCCCACTCTACTGATAGCCAAGAATACTACTACTACTACTACTACTACTACTACTACTACTACTACTAATAATAATAATAATAATAATAATAATAATAATAATAATAATATATGTGTGTATATGTGTATGTGTAAAGCAACAGACAGTCCGTCACACAGCTCACGTCCCATCAGGCTGGATTCTGTGCATTAATACCGTGTTGTGGTCAAATGAACCCTCACTGATGTACACTCACCATTTGCATACACGCACGGCTGAAGAATGCATTTACGGGTTTAGAATTGCTTTATAATCCAGAATCGAATCCAACTTGTAAAGAGAGTTGGATTCTATTTCAGTACAGAAGCGTATATGGTTTTTGATTAACCATTTGTCTACCGATTGACAGACAGACAGACAGACAGACAGACACACATCAAAATCGAAAGATATAAACATGTATCTATATATAAATCGCCTCTAAAGTCTTATTAAAATACGCATTATTGAAATCATATTATCACAAGGACGACAAATCAGACTGACTGACAGACAGACAGACAGACTGACAGATAGACAGACAGATCTTACCTCGTCTCCCAGGCCATATAGACCCCGACGGCAACCAGTAAGCCCTTGTAGACGTAGAGGGCCCCTAACCACCCGCTTGTATGTTCACTACGACACACCTCCACCTGGAACAGAAATTACAGGTGAATTGGTCTTATTTGGGCGGTCATCAGGTGTCCCAGGGAGTGGAGGAGCTGAGAGTGGGGAGGGGGTGGGTGGGGAGGATGGGTGGAGAGGAGAGTGCGATTAGAGGGCTGGGTGGGTAGAGAAAAGGTGGGGGTGGGTGGGGAGGTGAAGAAATTGAGGAGGTGGGGAGAGGTATTAGTGATGGGGAGGTAAGTGGTGGGGGAGGTAGTGGTGTGTGTGTGTGTGTGTGTGTGTGTGTGTGTGTGTGTGTGTGTGTGTGTGTGTGTGTGTGGCCCTCAGGACTGTAGGTCAGACACTCTTCCTGCCACTCATAAGTTCCCAGCGAGTGGACAGACGTGACACTCATGATGGTCAACACAGGTAATTGTACTCACACTCACTCGTGCACACACTCATTCACACACGTACTCACTCATAAACACACTCATACACGCACTCATAAATACACTCATTCACACACGCCCTCACACACACACTAGCTCAATTGCACTCTCTCTCTCTCTCACACACACTCTTTCACACGCTTTTTTATACACGTCTCTCTCTCTCTCTCTCTCTCTCTCTCTTTCTCTCTCTCACCTGGGGCTGGTACACCACGCCGCTATCCTCAGTAGACATCTCTACAGTCAGGTTATGGAGGTGTCGCGTCATGGGGTCCACACCAACCCAGGCACTGACGATCACCACATCCACAGCGAGAAGAACCATGATGACGGTGATCAGCTGTTTGTCCTTCAGCAGCTGTGGGGAGGTAAACAATGATCAGCTGTTGGGGGTAAACAATGATCAGCTGTTTGTCCTTCAGCAGCTATGGGGAGGTGAACAATGATCAGCTGTTGGGAGGTAAACAATGATCAGCTGTTGGGAGGTAAACAATGATCAGCTGTTGTGAGGTAAACAATGATCAGCTGTTGGGGTGATAAACAATAAACACACACACACACACACACACACACACACACACACACACATAAATCTAATCTCTCCCAGCAAATCCTTGCAAAATGTTGCTTTCAGCCCTTATTTGAGTGGTGGTGAGGAGATGGAGAGGTGGGGGAGAAGAGGGAGAGAGGAGGAGTGAAAGAGAGAGAGGAAAGGAGATGGAGGGATACAGAACAGGGAGGAGATGGAAAGGGGAGAAGAGAGAGAACAGGAAAAATATAAAGACCACCACCACCACCACTACCAACACCACCACTACCAACACCACTACCACCACTACCACCACCACTACCACCACCACCACCACCACTACCAAAAACGAGAGAGAAATTCACATACCAACAATACCACAGCACAGTACAGTACCTTGTTCCTGACCACACCCGCGCTGTTAGACCGGGTGAAGATCTGGTGTACTCGGTAAGTCTTCGTAAACATAGAACCGAAGGCCAGTGAGAAGCCCGCTGACAGGAGATACGCACGGGCCTAGTGGGGTAGAAGATGAGGTTAGGTGATGTTTTTAGCTTATGGGGACGTCAATGAGAGAGACAGATGAGGTTAGGTGATGTTTTTAGCTTATGGGGAGGTAAATGAGAGAGACATGAGGTTAGGTGATGTTTTTAGCTTATGGGGAGGTCAATGAGAGAGACAAGAGACAGATGAGGTTAGGTGATGTTTTTAGCTTATGGGGAGGTAAATGAGAGAGACATGAGGTTAGGTGATGTTTTTAGCTTATGGGGAGGTCAATGAGAGAGACAGATGAGGTTAGGTGATGTTTTTAGCTTATGGGGACGTAAATGAGAGAGACAGATGAGGTTAGGTGATGTTTTTAGCTTATGGGGAGGTCAATGAGAGAGACAGATGAGGTTAGGTGATGTTTTTAGCTTATGGGGACGTAAATGAGAGAGACAGATGAAGTTAGGTGATGTTTTTAGCTTATGGGGACGTAAATGAGAGAGACAGATGAAGTTAGGTGATGTTTTTAGCTTATGGGGAGGTCAATGAGAGAGACAGAGATAGATATATACTTACGGTACAGACAACAGGGAAGCAGTCAGGGGTAGGTAGGGTAGCGTGGTCAAGACCTAACAGTATGACGGCTGTGTAGACCAATATACAGCCCACTACCGTTGTGTTGTTGAGACGAGGACTGGATAACTTAATGCATCTGTAACAAACATACACGGGTTAATCAGTGACACATACACACATGCAGGGACACATATAGTCAAACACACACACATGCAGGTACACACATAGTCAAACACACACACACACACACACACACCAAAAAACCCCCTTCCCAAACCTCACCCTAAAACACACGCCGGATTAACTGAATGAGAAAATACTTGAGTTCGGGCGTCTTATCACTCGTCCTAACCGTCGACATAAGTCTCCTGAAGCCAGGTTTACGAGGGTGATAAACACAGTTATTAAGGCTAAGTCATGGCCGGTGGCAAGGATTGGAGTACGTTGTTTACAGTGGTGAATAGAGGAACGGAAGGAAGTGTTCGGATCAGCTGTGGTTAAGTTAACATTGTATTCATTTGATTTTAAAGGTTAATGTTTTCCTAATTAGTAATCCACCTGATGAGATACCTACCTGTTGAGATACCTACAATGTCCCCTCATCCTATCCCACCCCCCTCCCCCTCTCCTTCCCACCAACACCCCCTTCCCTCCCCCTACTCACTTGAGGCGACGATAAGTAAGATTAAAGATGAGGAACGCGAGGGCGAGGATGATGCCCAAACTAGCCAGGGAAGACATGATCACAAAGGCAGCCGGGGCGATAGTATCCACCCTCAGCATGAAGACTCGAGACGCTGGCACTTGTCCCCCAGGCCACACGAGAGCCGAGCACCCGGGGCAACTGAGATCCAAAGACCACTCTTCAGGGTGATACAACGCGACCTTGACTGGCTCTCCTCCTGAAGGTGCCACGAGATATAAAAACATTAGGAAATGAGATAGAAAATTAATACATAAATAAATACATATATACATACGGTACATATATAAATAAATAAATAAATAGATAAATTCGTGAATGGAAAGAGAATGAATGTTGGGGTGGATTAAGTAATGAATAAAAAGGGGGAAAATGTATAATGAATATAATAATAGAAAGGATAGTGAATAAGGAAGGTAAATTAGAAGAAAATACACACACACACACACACACACACACACACACACACACACACACACACACACACACACACACACACACTATTGAAAAACAAACAAAAACACAGTGCTTCTAAGTCAACAAAAAATCAAGTATTGCTGTGTTGACAAACTGAGGATAAGGGTAAGTGAGGAGGGAGGAGAGGGGAAGGAAGGGGAGAGGGGAAGGGGTAAGACCTTCTGGCTAGCAATACACACGACGGGAGGAAGAACAGGAGAGTATATTGGTGTTTCCAGTGAGTCGCTGTGCACCACGAGGACGACTTGACAAGAGAGGGAGAGAGGGATGGAAAAGAGGGGAGAGAGGGAATGAGAGAGGAGGGGTACGGGGAGAGAGAAGGAAGAAGGGAGGAAAAGGAGGAAAACTTGAGGGAAAAAGAGAGGGGGAAGGGGAGAAGGAATGAAGGTAGGAGAGACAACTTGACAGGGAAGGGAGGCCAAACAGTAGCTGGGGGTAGGGAAGCGAGTTTATGAGCTCTGGAAGCGGCAGGAGGAGCCAACTCAGATTGGTTATTTTCAGGTTTGAGTATAATTGGCTATTTTTTGAGAGTTGAGTCCTGTGATTGGCTATTTATTAAGTTCAGGTGGTATAATTGGCTATTTTTAAGGGTTGAGTCTTATGATTAGCTATTTTTGACAACACCAGACATCATGACAAGATGCTTCACACACACACACACACACACACACACACACACACACACACACACACACAATCAACAAGCCAGGGTGTATAATTAAGGTAGTATTTCTGAAGAGAGGTATTTGGCGAGTCCACACTCAGGAGGGGAGGAGGAGGACAATAGCCTAATATTACTCAACATGAAGGAGAGAAACTTTTGACTTGTAAAACAAACAGGATCTTCAGATGTGTGTGTGTGTGTGTGTGTGTGTGTGTGTGTGTGTGTGTGTGTGTGTGTGTGTTGGCCTGAGATCCCTTCCTTATATTCCTTCCTCATCTCCTCCTTCCTTTCCTCCATTCTCCCTTCCTTCCTCATCTCCCTTCTCCTTCCTCATCTCCTTCTTCCTTCCCTCATCTCCCTTCCTTCCTCACCTCCCTTCCCTCACCTCCTTTCCTTCAGCACCTCCTCCCTTCTTCCCTCCCTCACCCCCTCTCCCTCTAGACCCCGGGGCCTAATGGGTTCTTGGTCACTGCCTGTGTTATAACATACCTATTTTTTCACCCCATTAAAATATTGTGACTGTGTGGACTTGCTTCTTGTTGTTGTGGTGGTGGTTGCTGGTTTTGTGATTATTATTATTATTATTACTCTCTCTCTCTCTCTCTCTCTCTCTCTCTCTCTCTCTCTTCTCTCTCTCTCTCCTCGGCGTGTCGTGCAGAGCAAAGTGTCACCACAGTTAAGCACCTTCACTCTGGACCCTTGGAGGAGGAGGAGGAGGAGGAGGCGGCGGAAGAAGAAGAAGTAGGAGGAGGAGGAAGACGATAAAGGAGAGAACAAGAACAAGAAGAACAAGACACAAGAGAGTGGCAGTGTAGGATAACCACACACACAAAAACATAAACAAATAAAAACAAATAAAAAAAACCACCACCCAGGGTCAAACATCCCACAGAGAGTCAGTCAGGAAGGGCTTGGAAATGACTAAAACACGGAAAAAACATAAAAAAAACACGAAAAAACAGAATTATTCATAAACAAACTCATTTACATATCGTCAAAGTCATGTTCATCTCCCATAGGCACATCGCTAATAACATGAAAGCTTTGGAAAAACATCTACTTTAAATTTCTATGTAGGAATTGGTTTTGAAATCCTTAAAGCGATCTAGGAGGGGTTAGGTTAGGTTGGGCTAGGTTAGGTTAGCATTAGGGTGGTTATCAATTAAACTGGGGTGTCTACTATTCAGGTCAATTAAGCTGGGGTGTCTAATCTTCTTGGCAATTAAGCTGGGTTGTCTAATATTCAGGTCAATTAAGCTGGGTTGTCTAATCTTCTTGTCAATTAACCTAGGGTGTCTAATATTCAGGCCAATTAAGCTGGGGTGTCTAATCTTCAGGCCAATTAAGCTGGGGTGTCTAATCTTCAGGTGATAGGTAGGATTATAATACCTGTATACTACCTGTGCAGTACTTACCTTGTATCTGGTAGAAAGCTGTCACCCCAACGCGGTCTGGACAGTCGAAGGAGATGGGTCCCTGGTGATGAGAATAAAAGCAATGTTAGGTTAGGTTAGGTTAGGTTAGGAGGTGAGAGAGATGAGAAACAAACTGGAGTGAGAAACATGACAAAGGAAATCCTGAGCCAGTGACTAGTACAGAGAAAACAAGCTTAACAGGGGACACACACACACACACAGGTAACCTCATTAACCCACCACCACACCTGTAATTACCTGTACAGATCCATTCATTAATTCCCCAGGTAACGCTAATAAATAATGACCTTAATTAATATCAATAATAATAATAATAATAATAATAATAATAATAATAATAATAATAATAATAATAATAATAATAATAATAATAACATCATCAATCGTCATAAACATCAATCAACATCAATTAACATTATCGATAAACCTCGTCCTGTTAAACCAATTTTATTTAACCTTCGTGAATCAGGGTTTAACCAGAGGCCAATTGGGAATACCTGTACTTAATTAAGCTACCGTTACCTGGGTGGTTCTATACGAGACTTAATTGAGACTGGCTCTATTACACGCAGGTACGTAGATGTATTGCGTTTATGGGGACAGTCAGTTAGGCAGGCAGGCAGTTCAGTGAGTGTGTTAGTTAGTTAATTAGTGGGCGTGGTTGGTGGGCGTGGTTGATTAGTTGGTGATAATGATGGTGACGATGTGTGACATAGGTTACAATTCCCAACCAAATGTAACCAAAAACAACGTAATCTCAACCAAAAACCCAAACCCACCCCTTAAACCCCACCAAAACCCAAACCCACCCCTTAAACCCCACCAAAACTTAAACCCACCCCTTAAACCTCCACCAAAACCCAAACCCACCCCTTAAACCCCACCAAAACTTAAACCCCCACCAATACTCACCGATACACCACGGAAGCGAAGTCCCTGCATAGTTTCGAGGATCTTATCGGCCATGTCCTCACGGGAGTAATCGAAGGAGTCAAGGTAAAAGGCGTTGGTGAGGGCGCCGCCGTGGGTATCATGGGCGCCGTGGGTATCGTGGGCGCCGTGGGTATCGTGGGCGCCATGGGGATCGTGGGCGCCATGGGGATCGTGGGCGCCGTGGGGATCGTGAGGGTCCTGCTGCCGAAGGTTTGGACGACTGGAAATGGTGTAGGGGAGGTCCTCTTGAAGTCTGGCGAGTCGTCCCATGATCCTGTTATGGTAAGGAAGGAGAAGGGGGGTGAAGGAGGGTGAAGGAAGGGGTGAAGGAGGGAAGGAGGGAGGGTAGGGGAGGGGGAGGAGGGAGGGGTAGGGAGGGTGGAGGGGTAGGAGTAGGAGGTGGGAGGGTAGAGGTAGGAGGGGGTGGGAGGGTGGGAGGAGGTGGGAGGGTAGGATGGGGAGAGGAGAATGAGAGGGAGGGTGTGGGGGTGGAGAGGGAGAAATGATCATGTGGTTCAGTTAATTAAAACATAATAGGTTACACAAAAGCTTGAAATTGGTAATAAAAAAGCTTGAATTCGTTATATAAAAGCTTGGAATTGGTGACCTAAAAACTTTAAATTGGTTACCTTGGTTGCTTAAAATCTTGCAATTGTTACATAAAAGCTTGGAAATTTTACACAGAAGCTTGAAATTTAAGAAAAAAAGCTTGAAATTGGATAAACAACAGCTTGAAATTGGTGGTCAAGCTGTAAAACACGAACACCTACCAAGACATAGTTGGCTTCGTCCAGTTCCCCGGCAGCTGATGTACACCTGAACTGCACTTCTGTAGGGTGGGAAACGAAGGCCGGTGAGTGGTGGAGATATTGACACACCTGATGACGTAGATCCGATAACAACCGCTTATTGGTTCAATTTAATGACATCATAATACCCTCTAGCCAATGTTTCTTCAGAGATCCGATTACTTTTATACCCATAACACACACACACACACACACACACACACCTCACCTGATCATCCTTATCATGACCTCTGGGCGTAGTGGTGGTGGTGGTGGTGACCTTCGTGACCCTCGCTGAGTTGACCTCTCTGATCTCCCTCCTGGTGGGGAAGTGTTGGAGGTGACGGCGATGGATGTTACCTGACCTGACCTCTCTCTTGCTCTCCTCCATCATCTGGCAACACAATGAGATGGAGGTAAATGAGAGAGAGAGAGAGAGAGAGAGAGAGAGAGAGAGAGAGAGAGAGAGAGAGAGACCACCCCCTCCCCCTTATTCTCTCTCATCTGTAAACAAAACAAGAGAGAGTTAAGTAAATAATTAAGAATAAGAAGAAGAAGAAGAAGAAGATCACCTTGGCTACACGACCAATTGTTCCAGATATAATGGCCCGTACTATACGTCTCAAAAACACCCTGTAGGCGACGCCGAAGAAGTGCCATCTGAAAGAGAGGTTCCTCGTCATCACCTACATTGAATATCCCTTTTGTTTAGACCAATACCAGCGACTCTCACAACATAGACACGGCCTCCCACCCCCTCCCCACCCCCCTACTACTCTCTCTCACCGTCTCTACACGTCGCAGGTGAGACAGGAAATGACAGGTGACAGCAGGAGACAGGCAGCGGACGGGTAGAGCTATTAAGGTATAGATAGCATTTAGTGTTCATTGCCAATCTTGCTAAGTGGCCCAGTTAAAGCTCTGTGTGGGCGTGTGTGTGTGTGGGCGTGTTAAGACAGACAGACAGACAGACAGAGACAGAAAAACACCCACCCCACATACCCCACCCACACCACCCACTCCCACCCACACCACCCACCCCACCTCACAAATTATTTTTCCCTTATACTTCAGCAAAACCGTTCAGTTGTCCCAATGGAGCCTCACAAATATCACAGGTAAATTCACATATAACAAAAACCCATTTAGGTGAGAATTTTTGACAAGCGGTACAAGAGAAAAATAAAATATATACCAACAATTATAAAATACTCTGTGGTGAAATTGTTATGGCCGGTATTGTAGAGAGTTTATGTAATATTGTAGTACTAGGAGGAGGTGTGTGTGTGTGTGTGTGTGTGTGTGTGTGTGTGTGTGTGTGTGTGTGTGTGTGTGTGTGTGTGTGTGTGTTAGTTATTCTGCTATTGGTATTGTGATTTTTGCTATTTTATTATTATTATTATCATTATTATTATTATTATTATTATTATTATTATTATTATTATTATTTCTACCACTACCACTACTACTACCACTACTACTACCACCATCACCATTACTACATTTTTTCGTAATTAATTAACTAAATTCTCTTATCTGTGCAAAATAATATTAGTTATTAGTGAAGTGGGAGATAATAGTAAAGGATTAAGTCGTTAAGTTGGGGTAGTTAAGTGCTGGACATAGTTCTGAGCTGTTGAGAAAAAGAAGTTATCTGATTGGCTGCCTCTCTCTCTCTCTCTCCTCCCCACACGTCACCCCTCCCCACGTCACACCCTACCCTCCCCACCCCCCCTACCACATCCCACTAATAAAAAAAAAACACACAACGAAATCCAAAAATTACACCCAATCTATTTCCTTTATGCAAATGAGCTAAACATCATCACTACATAACGAAGATACAAGACCCACATTACAGCTAAGGTTAACTGTATCCAATTTAATACAGTCACCCCCCAACCCCTTTATGTTTTAGTAAGTCAAGCTTGAGTTAATGTTTCAGTTGGTGGTGTAAATTAGTTCATTTCACCATCAGTGGTTAAATGTTATCACCATTATATCACCATAGATCACCATAGAGAGAGAGAGAGAGAGAGAGAGAGGTAACACAGGTAGAGGGAAAACAAAGGTGCATCATCAAAAGGGAATTGAAGGAAGGAAGGAAGAGGAAGAGAGAGGGGAGAGGGGAAGAGGGGTTGGAATATCACGGAGCGACATTTGCCACAGTGGAGATTGGTCTTACTGAGTTAAACGCTTTAATAACACAGCATTGGTCGCTTATGTTACAGATTCCGCCATATACTCCCCACTCCCCTACCCTCTCCCTTCCTCCCCACTCTCTTCCCTCCTCTCCCCATTCCCCTACCTTACTCCCCTCCTCTCCTCACTCCCCCCATTTCTTTCCCTTCCCCATTCCCCTTCTTCTCTCTCTCCATTCCCTTACCCCCACTGTCTTCCTCCCTCTCCTCCCCACTCTTTTCCTCTTTCTCTCCCTACCTTCCTCTCTCTCCCTCCCCTCCTCTCTCCTTTACCCCATCCTTGTACCTCCACCATCATCAAAGGCCCAGGCTTTTGGAAAATGTTTCCTCCCTCCTCCCCCTCCTCCCTCCCCTCCTCTCCCCTCCCCAGTGATGTGAGTGTGTGTTCGTAAATATTTTAATTGTTGATGAGTGAATGTATGACTGCGAACTTAGGCACACACACACACACACACACTGGAATATCTATTGACCAAATATCACAAACATATTTTATTAACTTAGATATTGATATTTACATTTCACACAATACTAATACTAAATATTTACTGAATATTTATAAGGAATATCAATACAAAAATACTACTACTATTATTATTATTATTATTATTATTATTATTATTATTATTATTATTATTATTTTTACTATTATTATTATTATTATTTTTATGATTACCACTATCATCATCACCATCACCATCACTATCATCATCATCATCATCATCATCATCACCATCATCGTCATCACCTCATTATCTTGTCCATCACTATTTACGAGTCTGTTCCACGTCTTCAGCCGAGAATTAAGTTTTACGATTCATAAAACGCTGCCAGGCAACTTACTTATTAACACGGCTTAGAGAGAGAGAGAGAGAGAGAGAGAGAGAGAGAGAGAGAGAGAGAGAGAGAGAGAGAGAGAGACCTTTGTTTTCAATTGGTCCTCGACTCAAGTCACAAAATGGCGTCAAAATCACACAAAGACTCTACCTTAACTAGACACCTTTACTTAACATTATTTAGAAGATCAAGAAAAGTTAAAAAAAATAATATTATAATAAATTCTCAAACATAAAAATAAATAAATATGAATAATTTACTACTTTCATAAATGAAACAAAATAAACCCAATAAAACAAAATAAAACACAAAAAACACTAAATAAAACAAAATAAAACAAAAACCATTAAATAAAACAAAATAAAACACAAAAACCATTAAATAAAACAAAATAAAACACAAAAAACAAGAACTAAACCAAATAAAACACAGTGGACGAGACTCAGGTGACGTCAGACCTCAGCAAATCTTTACAACACTGTTTTATTGATTTGAACGACGCAAGACTCGACGTACACACGGACCAAATCTCCCCCCTTCCCTCCCTTCCTCTTCTCCCTTTATTTCCCTCCCTTCTTTCTCCCTTCTCCTCGTCCCTTCCATGTCCCTTCTCCCCCTTCTCTTCCCTACCCACCAAAATTACTCCCTTCCCTCTCTTCTTTCCCTCCTCCCTTCCCCCCTCTTCTCCTGCCCTCCCCCCTTCCCCTTCTTTCCGCATCCCTTTTCTCCTAACCTCGCCTCCCTCTAAACCTCCACTCCTTCCTTCTTCTGCTGCCCCCCTCTTCTCCCTTATCCTGCTCCCCCTCCCAACCCTCCCCCTCCTATACAAGCACCTGTGACTCGTGGGCAGTAAAGCTCGAAAAAAAACTCTCAATAACAAACAGGGCACAAGGCTTCAAAAGAACAGCCTGACGAAGGGGTGGGAAGGTGAAGAACTGCCTGACGAAGGGTGGGGAAGGTGTAGACGTGTGTGAATAACATGGCTAGGGATGTACAATTGCCTGACGGAGGGGTATTGAGGTGGAGAATTGCCTGACGAAGGGTGGATGGTGTATAAGTGAGAATAACATGAAGTAATAAAGAAGAGCTGCCTGACGAAGGGATATATAATAACAAAGGCAAAATACAAGAAGTGCCTAACGAAGTGAAGTTATATCTTAATACCTACCTGACGAAGATCATAAAAACCTAAGATAAGCAACACACAGTTACGTTTCAAGACCTACCTGACGAAGTAAATCATAACAAAACAACACCCACCTGACTGAGAGCTAGAGCGATGGCCCACACGGCGTCGTAGGTCTGAGTAACGTATTCTGTTAGGGGCTGCCCAGTGCGAGAGAACTCCTGCAGGAACTGGCTGTTGGTCTGTTGGGTGGAGAGGAGAGGTTGGTTAGCTGGTGGAGAGAGAGAGAGAGACGAGATTGAAGGTGACTGTAATGTGTAAATTGTGTGGTAGTGATCGAATCTGACCTGACCTGATTATTCTCTCTCTCTCTCTCTCTCTCTCTCTCTCTCTCTCTCTCTCACCTGACACACACACACACACACACACAGTGGAAACCAAACGAGTATACAGAGGACAAAAAAAAACAGACATGGACCTACACATGCATATTCAAACACACACCCGTACTAAGACACACACACACACACGCACGCGGTCAATCCAGCATCATGCACATATTAAGACTCACATACACACGCACACAGAGGGACACACACAGAGGGACACACATACGGGGATGAACACACATGCACACAGCCACACACAATATAGATTCACTCAAATATGTATCAACACACACACACACACACACACACACACACACACACACACACACACACACACACAACAACATTACCAGTCCTGACTCCGAGGCGTTGGTTCCTATGATTGAGCCGTGAGCCGTCACCAGTACCACCCCCTGCACCGCTTCCACCAGCTGCGCCTCCGAGCAGTTGGTACCGGTCGTAACTCTCCACCAGCTGTCTTGGGGCGCCCCGGACATTACCCAGGCATAGTCCTCCCCGTACATTCCCAGATGGTATGCCTGTAGGAGGGGAAGAAGGGGCTGTGAATATAGATCTTAGTGGATGGGTCGTCTTTTACCTGTAGGAGGGGAAGAAGGAGGCACATTACCTATACACACCACACAAACCAATACTAATCTAAACAAAAAATTAATCCTCTCTCTATGGCCAATTTAAAGAACTAAACTCCTATAATCCAACTGCTTCACTTTGTCTCATTCTACTGCTTCACTTTGTTTCACTGTGTTTCATTTTGTTTCATTCCGTTTCACTTTGTTTCACACTTTTACTTTGCTTCACTTTGTTTCACATTGTCTCACACTGATTCACACTGTTTCACTTTGCTTCACACTGTCTCACACTGATTCACACTGTTTCACTTTGCTTCACACTGTCTCACACTGATTCACACTGTTTCACTTTGCTTCACACTGTCTCACACTGATTCACACTGTTTCACTTTGCTTCACACTGTCTCACACTGATTCACTGTTTCATCTTTATTCGAGACCAAACTCAAACCACAGACTGTTCAGAATTTACTCCCTGACAGAACTTTCGACACCCAGAGGGATCGAGTTGTACGAGGCAGCCAGTTGACCTGTGGGGCGATGTATTGATGCATTCGTGTCAAACTGAAGTCTTTCCTGTCCATTTCTGGTTAGGTTAGGTTAGGTAATTACTGTACCTGTATTTTGTATTTAAATCTGTATTTGTGTGTCTGAAATAAGCTTAATGTATCCCACTCCAAAGCTCTATCACTCCCACTCCAAATTTCCATGATTTCACTCCTCCTCTTTGACTTCTTCCCCCCTCAGATTTTCTACCCCAAATTGGATAGAGAGAGAGAGTAGAACCAATTAATCCGTGGTTTAAGGTTGGCCCAGTGGACGCTAGAGGCCAAAGTCACGTCTCTGTTCACGTCCTGCTCGACTCTATCGCCCGTGATTGGAAATTCGGCTATGGGGCCGTGATAACTTTGAAGGAGAGGGGGGGGAGAGGAGAGGGGGGAGAGGTGGGGAGAGGGGGAAGAGAGGGAGGGTAGAGGTGGTGGAGAGAGGAGGGTATATGAGGGAAGGAATAATGGTGCTCTTCATTAGAAGTGGGAGAGAGGTGGAGGAGGGTGAGGGAGAGGGGTGAGAAAGGGTGAGAGAGAGAGAGTAAGGTGGGGAATTGATGGGAGGAGAGTGTGAAAGAGGGGATGGGGGGGTCTGGGGAGGAAATGATGCACTATTAGGAGGGGGAGGGGTGGATTGGTGAGGGAGGTAGGTGGGGAGAGGGGAGGGAGGGAGAGAGAGAGGAGGACTGAACGGTGTAATAAGAAACTATCCACACAGGTGCACCTCTCTCTCTCTCTCTCTCTTCTCCTCTCTCTCTCTCTCTCTCTCTCTCTCTCTCTCTAGCTGACAAAACGGAGCCAGTGTGCCTACTACCATCACCACTACAACTATCACTACTACTACTTCTATTACCATCACTACCATTATTCCAACCACCCCTACCACCATTCCTACCACCCCTACCACCATTCCTACCACCACCCCTACCACCATTCCCACCACCCCTACCACCATTCCTACCACCACCTCTACCACCATTCCTACCACCACTACCACCACCCCTACCACCATTCCCACCACCAGCAGCAGCAGGTATATAAAACTCAAATAAAAACAACTTGTAAAAATCATATCGAGTTGTGTTTCGCCAGACCCTGTTAAGAGGCTTTAACTGAGGGGGGTGAGACTGTTGATCTATTGAGAAAGACGCCGCCCACAGCCGCCCACAGCCGCCCATTACTACAGACGCCGCCCACTACTACAGATGCCGCCCATTTCTATCACAAACGGGCGCCCACTACTACCATCACCCTACCACCACTACCACAACCACTACCATCACCCCACAACCAACCACCACCTCACCAACCACAATCACCAACCTCCCAACCAACACCAACCACCACTACCACCAACTACAATCACCAACCTCCCCAACCACAATCACCAACCACAATCACCACCCCTACCACCTACAGACGTATTACTCCAGCAGTTAATCCTCTTCTGCTTCAGAGTTTTTGGCGGGTCCTTTGTATGACGGCACCTGGAGACAGCTCAGGCTCCTACCCTCAATAACGTCCACCTTAAAAGGACTGTGTGAGGCTTTCTGGAGACTCTCTAATCCTCAGGCCCCTTTACCTGTGTTCCTTTATCCTCACCTGACCTAACCTGACCTAACCTAACCTGAGCTAACCTAACCTAACCTGAGCTAACCTAACCTAACCTAATCTACCCCTAATATAAGCTAACCTAACCAAAAACTAAAGGTAAAACAATTATTAAATATAAGCCAACAAACCACAAGTGTATCCGTATTTACACTTGGGAATATGTGAGTGCGTCTCCCTTCCATATACACTTACGTTTTGAGCACCACCAAGACCCTCAGGAATAAGACACCGTTACAAAGTCCTTAAAACCCCTTCCTGATGAAATCCTTGAGGGGGTCTTACGAATCCTTACAGCAGATCCTTCTACCTCCTCCTCTACCTTCAAGAGATCTGTGGTGCTGATCATTTGTCTTCTATCAACTAAGGTATTGATCACATGATGTCAATTCTGTTTATATATACTCTATTTCTTAATAAACTACGTAACATAAAAACACACATAATAATCTATTAATTTTCTTTGTTATTCACTACATCATTCTATAAGTCTAATTCATTATTATTAACTTTTAATAATCTGGGATCATTACGGTACAATATAATGATTCATTGTATCTGTTCCGTGCCACCCACTGACATGGCTTATTGAGTTCGTAACACAGAGGGAGAGTTTGTGTTTACGTGTGCTTGTAATCCATTGAGAGAGAGAGAGAGAGAGAGAGAGAGAGAGTTAGTTCTCTTCTGTGTGGTCTCAGTAGCAAGTTGGCGCGGTTATAGGCAAGATGAATGGAAGGGTTAATCTTAAAATCGATATCCTTAACCGCTTTCGTTGGAGAATCGAACTAGGGTACAGTGGGTCGTTTCCTCAGTGTTGTAACCTGTGAGCCGATGAATAAAACATTTATATATGAACATGCATACTAACTTCATTTACACACACACACACCAAACACACCCATTCCACCACCTACCCTTCCAATCACCCATACACACATCCACACCCACCCACACACATCCATACCCACCCACACTAGCACATCCACTTACCCACAAAATTCTCCCCACCACCTGATCAACTTCCGACAATATTAAACTATTAATTTTTCGACCTACAAGTTGCTAGTGTGGGGGTACCTCAGGGCTGAGAGCTTCTGTTGGGTCCTTTGATGTCTGGCCCACCCGGAGACCTGCCCATTACTGCCTCACTACCACCACTCTCTCTCTCTCATCTAGCCACCCCATTCTCTCTCTTGCTCTATTATCTCTCATTCTCTCAGTTATCTTTCTCAGCTATCTATGTGTGTGTGTGTGTGTGTGTGTACCTGAGACTCTCCCAGACACACACACACACACACACACACACACACACACACACACACACACACACACACGCCTTTCAATCAGAGTTACCATCGGGCAGTAAATTAATTTCAATGTTCCCTTTACAATTTTACACAAGGTCACCAGGCGCCTTCCTCTTGTGGGGAAGGGGGGAGGGGGAGGGAGGAGGAGGGAGAGGGAGGAGGGGGAGGGAGGAGAGGAGGAGGAGGAGGAGGGAGGAGGGAGGGAGGAGGAGGAGGAGGAAGGAAGGAGGAGGAGGACAGGAGAGCAGCAGACTGTGATCAATCATCCAAACTTTGAAATGCATCTCCAGTCCCTTTCCTCCCCCCCTTCTCTTTCCCTCTCTCCCTTCCTCCTTCCCTCTCCCCTTTCTTCCTTCACTCCCCCTCTCTCCCTTAAGGACGACTTGTAAAGGAAAACTCTATGAATTTAAGTATATAGAAATCATTCCCTCACACTTGAAATAGAGAGAGAGAGAGAGAGAGAGAGAGAGAGAGAGAGTTAATGACAGGTAAGGCAGATTAACTCACCTGACAGAACACCTTCCTGGCGAGGTCTCCGGAAAAGCTGGCAATGAAGATCCTACAGTCATGCTCCTGTAGTGGGAGGAACCACTTCAATGATGTTGATGATGATAAAGTTAGATTAACATTAACATTAGGTTAGATTAGGCAAAGTCAGATTAAATTCCCTCTAATCAAATTACCTTTAATCATCACCTAACAAACCACAACCTAAAAATCCCCCCAAATCCCCCCAAATCCAAATAAATCCCCCGAAAATCCTGACACAATCCCACCCAAGAGAGAAGGTCTCCGTAGGTGAAGCCAAATTAAACCAATCCCAATGTTTCAACTGATTTCTTCAACTCGTTAAAAAACAATTGGGGGAGCGTTAGAAGTGTGAAGAGAGGGTGTTAGAAGTGTGAGAGGCGTTAGAGTGTGAGGAAGGGGGAGGGTGTTGGGGGTGTGAGGAAGGGGAGAGGTGTTGCGGAAAGGGATGTAGGGGTGAAAGAGTGTTGTGAGGATGAGAGTGTTGAAGGTGAAATTGTGTTGGAGGTGAGGAAGGATGAGGTGGGAGGTAAGAGGAAGGAAAAAGTTTATAAAAAGTCAAAGTTACGCCCCTGGATGATAATGAACTCACGAAAGAAAACGGAGTCGGTATTAGTGCAGTTACCCCTATTTTTATTGATCAAAGAAAATGGATTTGAGTGTGTTGTGTAAAGTGACTTAATGGTGACTTATCTTGAGTGTAGTGACTTAATGGTGACTTATCTTGAGTGTAGTGACTTAATGGTGACTTATCTTGAGTATAGTGACTTGAGTACGAGATAAAGTGAGTTAAGTACGAATATAAAAGTGACTTATTTCAAGTATTGTGTCATTCTTGAGTTACAGTGACTTATCTTGAGTATAGTGACGTAAGTACGAGGTAGAGTTAATTCAGTACGAGTTGTAGTGACTTTAGTACGAGTTACAGTGACATTTTGAGTATAAAGACTTAAATTCCGAGTTATAGTGATACATACCGAGTTATAGTGACATGTACCGAGTTATAGTGATACAAACCGAGTTATAGTGACACATGCCGAGTTATAGTGACACATACCGAGTTATAGTGACATACCGAGTTATAGTGACTTAATTCCGAGTTATTGTGACACATACCGAGTTATGGTGACTTAATTCCGGGTTAAAGTGACATATACCGAGTTAAAGTGCCTTACCTTGAGTGTGTGGAGATGCTCAGTATAGTCGCCAGGGGACAGGGTGACCGTGGCCTGGAGGGAGATGTTGGCTGCCTCTAGTGCTGGCATGAGCTCGTTCAGTGCCTGTGGAAGGAGGGTGCCATTATGTGAGGGAGAGTGAGGGAGAGAGTGAGGGAGAGATTGCCATTACTACTACTATTACCACCACCACTACCACCACCACCACTACTACTACTACTACTACTACTACTACTACTACTACTACTACTACTACTACCACCACCACCATTACAACAGGAAGCCACTGCCCCCAAGAAGCCAGCCACCCCACTAAGCCACCCCTTAGCGGCGTCTTGCATTCTCAATAAGCCTTGTTAACAAGAACCACCAGTAACGATGCTGAAGGGGGTGAGGAGAGAAGGAAGATGGTGACTAGGGAGAAAGGAGAGAGAGTGAGAGAAGAGAGGGTGAGGGATGGAGGTGGAAGGAGGGGGGAAGAGAAGGAAGAGGGAAGAGAAGGAGGGAAGAGAAGGAGGATGGAAGAGAAGGAGGAGTCCCACCCCTTCTTCCTCTCCTTCACTCCCTCCTCCTCCTCCTAGACAGTTAAGTAATGTGATGTCTTAACAAAACCTACAACACACACACACACACACACACACACACACACACACACATATATATGAAGCCTCGACCCGTTTATTCCCGTTTACCTGTACTTAACACACCTGAATTCACCTGTAATTAGCCCACGTATTCACAAGCTAGACACACCCTAACCTAACAAGACAATTAATTAACAAACTCAAAGCCAATTAACTGGTGAATGAACTTAATTAGTTATTCATTTCGTTAATTATTTTGGGCTACAGGTCATTCAGTCACCTGCCCAAATATTTACACTGCAAGAAAGTTAATTAATTAGCTATTTAATATGTTAACTAATCATGACTACCAAACATCCAATTAAATACTAATTTTATCGTCATCCGTATAACTAAATTACTCCCAACAAATTATAATTTTATTAACATACCTAATTAATTAAATCATTAAATAATTAAGCTGTGTTAAAAAAAGGTTATTTTATTCAATATATCCAACTCGCAACACAACCCAACAAAACACAACCCAACACAACACAACGCAACACAATAAACACAACACAACACAACACAACACAACACAACGCAACACAACACAATGATCAACTTGCTACGCATCTGAGATCTCATTTGTTTTGTGTTGTCATTGGTCGCTCGGATTACACCTCGACCAATAGGATTTCACCGAAGACAAGTAAATGTCAACAAAGCGACCACGTGACTGTGTTTACAATGTGTCTGAGGTTGCTACTCTCTGTTGCTAGGGGGGTACTGTTGCTAGGGAGGTACTGTTGCTAGGGAGGTACTGTTGCTAGGGGGGTACTGTTGCTAGGGAGGTACTGTTGCTAGGGAGGTACTGTTGCTAGGGAGGTACTGTTGCTAGGGAGATACTGTTACTAGGGAGAGTACTGTTGCTAGGAGGTGCTGTTGCTAGGGGTACTGTTGCTAGAATTACTGTTGCTAGGAAATACTGTTGCTAAAGTACTATTTACTGAGAATACTGTTGCTAAGAGTACTGTTGCTAAGTACTATTATAAGTTAAGTTAACTTTGATTTGGCTATATTAGGTTGGTTAAGGTTCTACACACACACACACACACACACACACACACACCTGGTTCTTCTTCCAACCTCTTAAATCATTAACAGGTCATCAACAGGTGAGCGACATTCCCGTGATGTAAACAAAGCCAAAAGTAGTATTTTGATTGGCAAGTCTCATCATACTGGAGACAGGTAAGTTAATACGATCAAGTAACATCACAACAACAGGTGAGGTAACACGAGGATGTGACCTAACCTAACCCTAACGTAACCTAACCCTAACCAAACCACAACCTAATCTAACTCTAACGTAACCTAACCAAACCACAACCTAACCATAACGTAACCTAACCAAACCACAAACTAACCCTAACGTAACCTAACCAAACCACAACCTAACCCTAACGTAACCTAACCAAACCACAACCTAACCCTAACGTAACCTAACCAAACCACAACCTAACCCTAACGTAACCTAACCAAACCACAACCTAACCAGACCCTAACGTAACCAAACATATATTTTAGAAGCCAGAACACAGGACATTACTTAAGAATATTACCAATTGAAAGGTGACGTCAACGGGGTGTGTGTGTGTGAGTGTGTGTTTAGACTGACAGGGGGAGGAACTAATCCATTACCCCGTCGGCGCCTTAATCCCCCTTTCCCATCCCTAAATCCCCCTTAAAATAACTTAAATCCCCTTCCCATCCCTAAATTCCCTTCAAATAACTTAAATCCCTTTCCATACAATCCCCCATAAAATAGCAATCTACTTCATCCTAATCACCTTAAAATAACTTAATCCCCCTTTCCCGTCCCTAAATCCCCCTTAAAATAACTTAATCCCCCTTTCTCATCCCTAAATCCTCCTTTACAGCACTAAATCCCTTATCCAACCGCCAAATCCCTTTAATCATGTCGTCTTTAGCTCAAGAAAAAAAATTTACAATATTTCCCCTCAAGAGTCAGACTTCGCGGGTTTCCGATTGAGCAGCTGGGCAATAGAAATTACCTTGTACCCTTCCTGATATTAACGCGTGAAACGTCTTTCTTCCCTATCGGATATAGAGTCTGGTCCAAGAGTCGGTCTGGACCTGTTATCGATGAGGGAAGATAGTGGATAGCAGTCGTGATTGGTTGATTGGAGAGGGGTACTCGTCCAATGGGGATGTGTAATGTTTGTGTGCCTGGCTGTAATTGGTCAATCTCTCTCTCTCTCTCTCTCTCTCTCTCTCTCCGTATTTGTGTACTGCATTTGGTATGTCTTCATGTCACACACACACACACACACACACACACACACACACACACACACACACACACACACACACACACACACACACACACACACACACACACACACACACACACACACACACACACACACACACACCTGTACCTGTGAATCAACTCCACCGACCAATTAACACACAAGTTATATCTCCACCTGCCCTTCCAGTTCCTGATTGGTCCACAGTGGCTCGTTCATTAGCCAATTAGATTCTAGGTCACTGGCGTATTGAGTGAGTGAGGTGAGGAGTGAGATTGACTAGAATTTAGCGTGACCTAAAAACGTGATTGGCACAGGTGTGTGTGTGTGTGTGTGTGTGTGTGTGTGTGTGTGTGTGTGAGGGGGATGTGCTTGCTTTGGTCAGGCGTGTTTACATTACAAAGTTGTGTGTGTGTGCGTGCGTGTGTGTGCGTGTGTGTGTGTAAGGGCACTAACCAAGGTATACATATCGTGGTTTTCAGAGATGGTAGTCACGGTACTCCAGTAGTGGTGAGTGAGGAAGGCGAGGCGGGCAGCGTTGTGGGAGGAATCCGGCGCCACTGTCCTGATGAATCTCGGGAACGACGACCTGTCACTCAGAGCTGGTGACAATGACCCAAATGACACCTGGTGGAGGATGAGAGAAGCAGTGTGTGGTTAGTCGTGGTGATACTACTACTACTACTACGACTACTACTACGACTACAGGTACTACTACTAATAATAACGATAATAATACACAAAGAACATACACACACACACCCCTTAGACCCAAGCGCTTTAAAGATTAAGAGGTGGACATACGAGCACCTTTTACTGTGATCGATACTGAATTCAGATGAATGTCACTCCAGAGAGGTCGACTGATAGAGGTAGACGAGTAGAATAGTAGATACACAGGTAGGAAGGTAGGTAAGTAGAGGTAGACGAGTAGAATAGTAGATACACAGGTAGGAAGGTAGATAAGTAGAGGTAGACGAGTAGAATAGTAGATACACAGGTAGGAAGGTAGATAAGTAGAGGTAGACGAGTAGAATAGTAGATACACAGGTAGGAAGGTAGGTAAGTAGAGGTAGACGAGTAGAATAGTAGATACACAGGTAGGAAGGTAGATAAGTAGAGGTAGACGAGTAGAATAGTAGATACACAGGTAGGAAGGTAGATAAGTAGAGGTAGACGAGTAGAATAGTAGATACACAGGTAGGAAGGTAGGTAAGTAGAGGTAGACGAGTAGAATAGTAGATACACAGGTAGGAAGGTAGATAAGTAGAGGTAGACGAGTAGAATAGTAGATACACAGGTAGGAAGGTAGATAAGTAGAGGTAGACGAGTAGAATAGTAGATACACAGGTAGGAAGGTAGGTAAGTAGAGGTAGACGAGTAGAATAGTAGATACACAGGTAGGAAGGTAGATAAGTAGAGGTAGACAGAATAGCAGTATTCGTTCGACTCACACTGCTCTGTTGCCGCTCCCACTGTGTGTGTGTTGGTGGAGGGTCGGCGTAGTGAACCTGCCGTCCTGGGAGAGTACAACACACTATGCATCCTTCACCGCCAGTGTACCACGAACTTCTGAACGGAACTGTACCTTTGAGTACCTGTCCATCTAACAGAGGAGGAGGGAGGGGAGGAGGAAGATGAGGAAGAGGAGGAGGAGGAGGAAGATGAGGAAGATGAGGAATAGGAGGAGGAGGAGGAAGAGGAGCAGGAGGAAGAGGAGGAGGAGGAAGAAAAGTAAGTATATCCCACAGAGAGAGAGAGAGAGAGAGAGAGAGAGAGTGAATAGTCGGTAGTTCAGTGTGACGAATCCCACCAGGTAATACCACTTCCCTCCCTCCCTTCCTTCCCTCCCCCCATCCCTCCCTACCTTCCCTCCATCCCTTCCTTCCTTCCCTCCATTCCTTCTACCTCCCCTCCCCAGCACTCTTCTCTACGTTCCTCCCCCAACGCAATTCTACCACGACCCGAAGTTCCTCCATCCCCCCTTCCCCCCAAGTTTCTCCTCCCCTGTTCTACCCCCCAGTAAGCCTCACTGCTCTAAGAAGGAGTAACTTGATCAGCTCTACCGGGGTTCCATTAGAGTCACTGACCCACTACTTAAATTCAATAATGTCCCTCCAAGGTTGAGAGATCTTCACTTAAACGTATTTGTGCGGTGTGAGAGAGTGAGAGAGTGAGAGTGTGAGAGAGTGAGAGAGAGAAAAGAAGGGGTGTGTGTGTGAGTGTGTGAGATATAGAGGTGTGTGTGTGTACTTTACCACTTACACGGAGCCAGAAACCAGTGTTAAATATCCCCTAGTTAAGTTTCCCCTACCAGCCAATATAATAGATCACATGAAGATTAGACACCCCTGCTTATTTACCCTGTTGGTTAAGTTAGGTTAATGTAAAGTGGACTGAGAGTACCCCAGCATCGAACCAGAGACCCCGAGGGAACGAATCGAGTACTATAACGCACTACACCACCGAACCAAAATACAATAAGAAACTTAACCCCATCTACGTCTCTTTCCTCCTCACACACGTTGTCAATTTAGTGATTTTTAATAAATAATTCAATTACAACTTACAACTTTCCCTAACTCTTTAATGGAAGGTTTTAAAACATCAGTTATGTTGCTTTCTCCCCCACCCCGCCCCGCCCCACCTCGCGTTCTTCCGTCATCTTGTCAAACGTCATTTTTGCTTCAGTCAGAGAGGGTGAGGCTGTTCCAACGTTACCGCCACAAAACCCATTATTTTTATTACTATTTTTTCTTCTCCTTTTACTACCTCTTACAGCAAAGGAAACACGAATTATTATTATTATTATTATTATTATTATTCATTATTATTATTATTATTATTATTATTATTATTATTATTATTATTATTATCGTCATCATTAATAAAGCCACAGTGATATAATAACAAAATTGGACAGAACAGATCAATACATTTACTACCATTCCCATCTCGAGTTTTAATTGGAAACCTGATCGGCGGAAACCCTCATTACATTGCCTCCATAATACTCAAACTAATTACATTTCCCGTAAAGTAGAAAACGTATCATAATTATCATTTTCCCCCATACAAGACAACGGGAAATAATTTTTGATGTAGGATTGTCTATAGAAGCAAAATTTCAACTAATCAACAGCACTTTCTTAATTATTTGTTTTCCATCTGGCCAATGATAAGCCTAGACGTAAGAGTTAGGATGAGATCTCACACAGTTGGTAAAGTTAATCTCAGAACTTGTGGTATGGGAGCCTGGTCATCAAAGCATTGGTGTCATATGTCATTATAACTTATAAATTCGTAGGTCGTCAGTGCATTTCCAGGGGGCCGGAATTGCTCAACTCAAATAATAAGAATAATAATAACGATAATAATAACAATAACAATAATAATAATAATAATAATAATAATAATAATAATAATAATAATAATAATAATAATAATAATAAACTCCGCTCCATACCAACGCCCTCTAGTGATCAAAATCCACGCTAGTCTTAATGCATATCACACGGTCTGGCATCCACTTAGTTATCCCATCTTCCACCTCACTATCTAAGACCTTCCATTAGTGTTAGTCGAAGCTGCCTGCCTTTGAATAACAAGTTCTGAGATGGTGTGAGTGTCTGTGTGATCGTCCGTCCGAGCCAGTGAGGGAGAACCCCTAGAGTACCCTAGACAGTGTGGGTATCCTGCAACCAATCAGAGGTGGAGGATCCATATAACTCTCTCTCTTCCCGCAATTTCCACCAATCATCAGCGGTCTTGTAACTTGTCACTGAGAGGGACTGAATGTCACCCGCCAGTTCAGTCCCGGATTCTCAAAGGTTCCTAAGTTAAAATTCCTCTTTTAACTCGACCTCTGAGAACGTATCTAATTAATCCAGCTTCAATTACTTACACTATCGTGATAAATATGGCGTCAAAAATACACCAAGATCCTACAGTAACCATTTTTTAACCTCAAGTTATGGAAAGATTCGCGTAAGATATTTTATGAATCTGAATCCCGAATCTGGACTCCACTGGCAGAGATGAACCCAATAAGACCAATATTCTACTATAAGTTGAGTGGCTTCCTCACAGTGCTCAAGTTGCTTACCTCAATGTTATAATACGGTATTACTGCACTTCAATAACTCTTAAGTCATAAAACGTGAATCACCTGAAGAAGAACCACCCCAATACTAACCTAACCTATTATTATTATTATTATTATTATTATTATTATTATTATTATTATTATTATTTTTATTGTCAGTTAATCTCGCTACTCCCAGACAGAAAACGGGTCAGTGCAGCAACTGGAGGCACTTAAGCACGTTTCTGCCTCAAGTTATTGATGCACTTAAACACTACCACACACGACAGAGAAAAAGAAGAACAAGAAAGTACATGGAAGACAAAACACGAGAGAGAGAGAGAGAGAGAGAGAGAGAGAGAGAGAGAGAGAGAGAAATGGAAAGAAGGAAGAATGGAATACAAGAGAGAATAAAATTAAGTGAAAGAAATATGACACACACACACACACACTTCTATTTCTCATAAGCATTAACTATTGATGAACTAGTGTAATTACTATCCCATATTACGCACTAGTTAAAAAAATAACAATAATACCATAACGACAAACACTCATACAATAAAGTGAACGTCATTTCTAGTACAACACAGAACCTCTTGTCTCCAGTCCTCCATTTCGACGTTCAATTCCTCAAGGCGCTGTAGAGGACCTGCCATAAATCCTAACCTTTCTCCTAAGTCAGGGGGGAGATTCATCCTCGGCTGACAGACTTACGACCCTCAGCTAAAGTGAGAGAGAGAAAAAATGACCCGTATCTCCTGGCCAAGTTGCAGCTCCTCTCTCTCTCTCTCTCTCTCTGACCCTCTCTATCCATTCCACTGACCCCCTTACCCTCCCTCCCTCTCAATCAGTCCCTGCCTCTCCTGCCCTCTCTCTCCTTCACCAGCCCTCAGCCCACCCATAAAAGACTATCCTATTTTTTTTTGGTCACAGCACCACTGAATCGTGATTTGCATACAAGGTGACTCCTATTGACCATCGCCCGCCTCGTTGCCAGCCAGCACTACTCACCCACCCACTCACACCCACCCACCCCACCCTTTATCCACCCAACCCGCCCACCTACCCACCCTTAAACTCAGTGCACCTGTTCACCTCTTCAGCACCAGTTGGCCATGATATCTGATACGGCGGTCACAGATGGCGCCACCTGCTCCTATCATATGTAAACAGTTTTAGTGTTACCTCTCTCTCTCTCTCTCTCTCTCTCTCTCTCTGTTGAATGAATTTTTATCCTATAGTGTCTTATTGTTCACTTATGAGACCTAAACAAAAGACGTAAGCTATATTTTGAAAGTGTAACAAAAGCAACCGAAACCCTACAAAGGTGTAAACAAAAGTCGCATAAAAGTATTAGTTGTAAGATAGAATGACAATATTGTTGTTGGTGGCCGGACATCTTCACTCCATCTGGGTCGCAGTGTAACTTTTTTTTTTACTTTTTTTTTTACTTTTTTTTACTTTTTTTTATTTTTATTTTTTTACTTTTTTCATCGAGTATTCTCACTGTCTTGTTGATGACTTCCCACAGGGTATTATT